CCTGTATCCCAGGATCTGATCCCAGGTTTTCTGCTTTTAACTGGATTATATTAGTCCGCACCACCAGATAATATGGGATAAATGGAAAATTTGGGATTACATCCTGGGGTAGAGGGCCTGTCTGGAAGGGCCTTCACATGACTGGTCCACCAATGATTAAATTATTTTCTTTGTTTTCATTCACATAATATTAAAGACAAGCAACAATTGAGCTACTACAGCCATTCTGCTGTTCATACTGTTTAATGACTTCCACTCCCGCCCCAAATAAATGAGCATGTTATCTTTCAATCAGGAAGCCACCATTTTAATGTTATAGGTTTGGTTTTCCCCTGACATGAAGTCCAGTAATATCCAACTTTGGGGGTTGGTGCTCATCTCCATTTCTAAGCTGAAGAGTCGGCGTTGTCTGTAGACACCTCCAAGGTCATGTAGCCAGCATGATTCCATGAAGCGCCATTAATTTTATTTTATTTAATTAATTTAATTAGTTTAATTAATTTAATTAATTTAATTAATTTAATTAATTTAATTAATTTTAATTTAATTTAATTTAATTTAATTTAATTTAATTTAATTTTAATTTAATTTAATTTAATTTAATTTTAATTTAATTTAATTTAATTTTAATTTTATAGGGCTCACCTATTTATATTGAACAAATATGTGTGAAGTCATCGCCCACATATTTGATGTCTCTTTCATTCCCTTCTTTCTCAATATATTACTAGCTACCAGTCTAAACAAACTGTGTGTCCCATATATATATGCAGAACACCATGTTGAATAATCCTGCTATGGAACCTCAATTCCATTAATTCAAATGGGATTGACATGTAGAATGCATCTAGGCATCGTTCAAACACTGCACAACACAAAGTTTATTTCACTGTTCACCTCAGACTTTACACTAGGAAAAGTATTGGAATTATCATTGTGGCTTGTAAATTACTAAAAATGTAGACAATACTATAGTTTAAATTGATCTGTAAAATTTGTATTCTATTCCTAAACTGAAACTTGTGTGTGTGTGTGTGTGTGTTTATTTGCATTTTATTTTTGTTTGCAAAAATTCCTTACAGTCAGGCAAGTGTCAGCTTTGCTAGTATTGTAACCATAAGTGAAACAGCTGGTAAAAGCACTTGAAAAAAATGAACAGCAACATTACAAATGCCTTTCCCCCCTCTCTTGAAGAAATAGTTAAAGTTGCTAAGTAATAAACTGAACAGAATGTCATAGAATGTCAAACTGGGCATAGTAAAAATAAATGTTATTCCCAAGGAAAATAAAAAAGACGGCATATTTATGTAACATTCAGCAGATGGACATGATATTAATATCGAGCTTTTCAGTTGTACTTTTATAGCTACTGGATTTTTTATTTTTTTTATTTTTTGGCCTAACTTGGCAGCTCATAGGCACCATTTGATTTTTGGATTTGGACAATCCTGCAACAGATGTCCAGACCAATAAAACAAATTCCTAAAGGGCTATGCTTAATTTGTGTAATTGATCAATTTTTGTTACATGGGCCTCAATTCACCAGCATGTAACTGCCTTCCAGATTAGCTCAGCAGTTGGGATTTCATTCCATATGTTGCAATAGTTTATTGGCTCTTTGGCGACGGTGCTGCTGAAACAACAGCACTAGTGGGGACACCTGTTGGCAAAAACCATTAAATATAACAATTGTTATTAGAGCAAAGGCAAGAGAGCCCAGCTGGCATGCACAGCCAACTATGTGCCCAAGGTTGGGGCCTGAAAGGTCACAAACAAGCACAGGAGCCAAACCGGGCTGAATGTAAGCAAGAGAGCAGTTCAGAAGGCTGCAAAGACCTTTAAGGACAGGTACAAAAATGTGAGTAAGAAATATTGGAGACCCAATTATAGCTACATACTACACAACTAAAACTCAATGACTCCACTTTAACTACTAAGACCATGGCTGCAACCTGGGGTTTCTAGTTTCGTGATACACTGGAGTTCTCTGGGTGAGATTTCCAAGCACCCAAGCACCCCCTACATAAACTGTAAATCCTTGCATTCTGTAGAATGAAACCATATTAATTAAGGTGAAATCATTGGCTATGAGTAGAGGGTGTGAAACAGCTGAGGATGCCCTTTATATTTTCTAATGCTTAGAAAAGTTGTGCAATTGGCATGGCTCAGATAGTTCTGGAGCAGAAGCAGATATGACATAGTCAGAATGTTCAAAACTAAGGATCTCTTCATTTGGGCCACCGGAATTGCCACAGATCATGGCAATCCAGCACTATCTGTCAAGGGGCATGAGGAACCCGTCACCCCATGTCCCACATTGCCTGATTTACCAGCAAGTCGATTCCATGGGGGAAGCATTGACCATATGGCTTTCCCCATTGCTTCTGGTGTAGCATGGGATGGCTCTCATGTTGCTGCTGCTGCAGCACATGCCAGTTCCACACTAGTTTACCCATGGCACCTTGCCGGTAGTTCCTCTGCATCATGGGATGGGAACCAGCAGTCTCCATGGGTATACTATGGTAGAACCAGCATATGCCGCTAAAGAAAGCCCCATCTGATGAGGCCATAAGTGATGACATTAAGAAGAGCTGCAGGCAGAAAGGCAACATCTGGATTTTTCTGAGAATTGCAGTCTTAGAGTATAACATTCCCAAACTCTAGATCAGTGGTTTTCAACCTGTGGCTCCCCTGATGTTTTGGCCTACAACTCCAAAAAACCGCAGCCAGTTTACCAGCTGTTAGGATTTCTGGGAATTGAAGGCCAAAACATCCGGGGAGCTACAGGTTGAGAACCACTGTTCTATATAAACATATTCATCAAATTCCCTGAGTAATAACATAGGAGATATATCAGAGTCCTGTTTCCATCCTGGAAGGTTCTGCAGCTTTCTCTGAATCATTATGCACATAGAACAGTGGAATTGAGAGGCACACCACTTCTGATTTCAAGGAGATTGTATTTTAAGTGCCTTTACTCCCATGCTGTTTGCTCCCTGGACACAGCTAGCTTAGCACAATCTATCCTTAGATGTTAGTAAAAACATCAACTCAAAAGCCTGGGTTGACATATGCACAAATGAGTACTATCCCTTCTCTGAGTGAAGTGGCAAAAGGTGAGAGCTTGGTCCCTTGCAGGAGAACCAAAAATAAGCACCAATTCCCTTTGCTCTCTCTGCCATAGCATTGCTGTGGCCTCTTTGAATGCCTGGACTCGGGAATTACAGTAATGGTCAGGGGCGGTGAACATTGATGCTGTCCCTTCTCCAAAGAATGTCCCTCAACATCCATGGGTCATAACAAAATCCATAATTTTGGCAATTTTTATCTTGTACTCAGTTGATTTATACATTAATATATATGGTAACGTCTGTCCTCTCCTCTTCTTCCCCAGACTCTTTTTTATCATTTCATGTTCCTGCAGGAAACTTTTTTTGCATGGGAAGATAATAAAAAGGTACACAGTGGCATCACCTGGGATAGACCATAGATGAAGTACCACAAAAGATGGCAAATATAATAAAAATCACAAATAAAAACCTTTTTTAAAAATCTGAGCAAACATCTCTCCAGGAATGGCAGCCTTCTGAGCCATTCAGCTGTCTGCCACATGATAGTATAATCATTGTTTTTAGGGTATATGTTGTAATGTTTTACTCATATTTTAGTTTACTATGTCTTATTGGATTGCTTTTTATTATTTTCATCTCGATGCTTAATTCTTTGTTGTAAGATTACTGTTGTTCTTGTGCATTATCTTGTTCCATCATAAACTTGTCCTCTCGATTCACTTTATCTCAAATAAATTAAACCCCACAGTTTGTCCCATCCATATCTCTCATCCATATCTCCTCCCATCTCACCCAATTTTCCCCTGTTTTTATCCTTGCATTTGGCCCAGCCCACTTTGTTCAACCCTTGTTTTAATTTTTCACCTTACCTTATACCCTGTGTTTTATCCCATTGTGTGGTTTTTCTTTTATTGTTTGTATTTTATTTGCGTTATTATCTGCTGTATGTATTTTATTTTATTTGTCGGGCCTGGCCTCATGTTAGCTGCCCCAAGTCCCTGAGGGGAGATGGCGGTGGGGTATAAATAAAGTTTAATAATAATAACAACAACAATAATAATAATATTTTGATGTGTTTGTATTCATTTGAGGCATTGAATGTTTGCCTTTTTGTTTTGTGTCTGTAAACTGTCCTTCGGGGCGAGAGGGTGGTCTAGAAATAAAGTATTATTATTATTATTATTATTATTATTATTATTATTATTACTACTACTACTACTACTGTCCATGGCTCATTCAATGTCACAACCACTGTAACCTTATCCCTTCACTGACTTATAAAACATTGAGAAATCTGAAGAGAAAGGAGATGGGCATTTGTAGAGCTTGTTGGACATATCATAGCATTACTACTTGACAATCTCTGTAAAATACTTTAGGGGCAAAACGGAGTCTATATTGCTCATGACCTCCTCAAATCCAACAGTTTACACTCTTTTCAACTTCTGTCTATGCTTTGTTCTGCATAAAATGTACATTGGCTTTCTTCCCCCACTCGCATGCAGGTAAATTATGAAGTGGAAATATCTACTGACTAATGTATAGGACATGAGTCCGAGTGTTACTTATAGCATCCCCTGACAGAGGAAGCAAATCCTTTAGGATGCCCTATAAATACTGAAAGGAAGAATATGCCTTTCATTTAACTGCGGAGGTGGATTATACCCGAAACCATTCTTACATAATGAAACGTGTCAGCTTCAGGGAGCTTTAACCCCACCTTTTCTATAAAGAGTAATAAGTGCTCTAAAATGGAGAGGACAGATAAATGTTGAAAAATGATATCAATAAAAATTTTGTAGTACATTTTCCCTAATACAAAATGTCAGTGATTTACTTCTGTGCAATACAGGTTTAATTGATTCAAATAGCATCAGTAGTAATTAAAATATGGATTCTGAAGCACAACTGTTAGCTCTCATCACTCACCTATTAAACTTGCCATAGATGCTGTGTTAATTATCTTCCCATATCCTTGATTCAGCATAATGCGGCCTGCAGCCTGTGATAGAAATTAAAGGAGGGACCAGTGACCCCTTTTGTGATTCTGCTAATAATGACATGATAATAAATTAGTCCTCACTTTTCAGAAGAGTTTATGTGCTAAGTAATTTTCCCCTTCTCTAAAGTGCTTGATGTAAAAACTTGATATGAAAAAAGATGGTTCAGGCAGGAAAGTTTCTATGACCACTTTAGTTCTCCTCTGAAGGGGCTTCCAAAGGCAAATTGCAAAATAGTAGACTTCTGATCTAAGCATGATGTGTTGGTTTGTTATTTTTATTTGTTTATCATCTCCTTCTTGTCAGCAGTTATGGATCTTATGCAGAAAATTTTGAATCCCTTTCTTACTGGCACAACAGTCATGTGAGGTAGGAGAAGGTAAGCTTCAATAAGATCACATAGTTTTTGTTATTACAGGTTGAATTTCTCTTATCCAGAAAGTCAAAATTTGAAATAATCCACCCTTACATTCAGTGGTTTCACACACAACTTTAAAAAAAACCCCTGTATCAAATTGCCTTCAAGCTATGTGTATAGATGAAACATTCATTAATTTCATGTTTAGACGAAATATATACATATCTCATTATGCAAATGCAAATATTCCAAAATCACATGACAATTAATTGTACATTTAGCATTAACTATTCAAGCGCCTTTTGAAAATAATCACTTGGTCTACACCTCTTAAGTCTTCAGAAAGTAACAGGGACGCTACATTCTTTGCTGAACTATGCTTTTGTACATGTTTTTGCTGCAATGTCCTGAACTTGCTACAATTTAGAGCCACTATTCTGATGTGTTGAGGTGGCTCTGAAGCAATACAGCAGTAATGGTAATAGGGGTGGAAAGAATATTCTCTAGTATTCATATCCCAATCAAAATGACAGTCTGACAGTCATGAAGCCCTGTCAGGAAGAATAATAGAGCGGCATGACTTTTGTACAGTTTCCTCTCAGTATCCAAATATACCAAAGTGTTCCAGAGGATTTTTCAGTCCAAGGAAATGTGTGGCTTTTTATGCCTCACCTACACAGAGAGATTTTACACAACATTTTTTTGTGCAGGAAATGTATTTCTGCAAGGAAGTGTGGATTTTGCACAAAAAAATCCACATTGTTGTTTGCACACAAAAATTATCTTGAATATTTCAGAATACTTGAATAGTGAAATGATACTCTGTAAAAATATTCATTTTCTCTAGCAACAGGAAGAAAACTACATTAATTACTTATCTTCAAATGCAAAGACAAAATAATTGAGGATTTGCAACATGGTAGTAACTAATAGAGTAAATGATGATGACATATTATTGTTGTTAGACTTTGTGAATTTGCCAAGATAGTGTCTGACAGGGCCAAAATTGTTTGCCATTGTTCAAAAATGAGGGACATATTTATATACAACACTGAGGATGCAATACTCACTTGGCAGCATAAAAACAAGCCTCGTAAATTCACATTAAAAGTTTTGTCCCATTCCTCCAGAGAAGTATCTTCGCTCGGGGAGTTCATGTTGATCCCTGCATTGTTACATGCAATATGGACTGTGCCCCATTTAGTCACAACTTTATCAAGCATCTTCTGGATATCTTCTGGCTTGCTTACATCTGCCACAACAGCCATGCTTTGTATCCCTAATTAAAATAAAAGCAAACAAACAGAAAACGTATTGTATTCCTTCCTCTGGTTGAACAATATATTCACCCCATCCCAATTTACAATGTGTTATGAAAAATAATATACTGTGGTTTCTTTTCAGATTATATAAATCTTTCACTAAACACTTCATTATTAGAAATTACTATCCACAGGTTTTCAAAGAAGTGATAACATGTTTACAGATGTATAGCATTGAGACTGCAAGCTATGACCTATGTGGGATGGATAGTAACATATTTCCAAATTCTCTCACAAAGGACTTGGGAAATAAGCTTTTGGATTTGGGATTTTTTCTAGATTTTGGAATACCTGCATATGCATATACATAGTGAATGAGGGATAGCAGGGAAGAGAAGACCTCCGAGACATTTTCCCATGTATTTCTGCCCTTTTGTAAAGCTCCAGGAAAGGAGGAGATTTTGCCATCATGTGAGTCTTTTTCATCTGGGCTGGATAGAATTGATGGCCAACGGAATCATTCTATGCTTACCTATTTCTAGGTTGTCTTCCATGACACATACTGCCATTAACTGGGTAGAAAATGAGCATGGAAACATTTGGGATATCTGCTTTTTACAGGAGGCTTGTGTAAAAGAACTCCTGTCTCCCTTCCTTCTCTTCTCTGCCCCCTTTCAGGACTCCTTGAGGAAAAACTCAGTGGGCTCTCAATGCGTGACTAGCTCCCTTTCCCTAAAGGTGGAAGTGGAAAGCTGACAACAACAAAAAATTGGACATTTAATCAAATGGACAAAAGACATTTAATCAACTACCAAGCTTGCAAACTTTGTGTTCTGTTTGTTTGTTTATCAAAAAATGCAATGAAACTGTTTGGTCTGCTCCTGACATGATAAATAAAACAAAAAATTTGGGGTTTCGGGTAGTTTGGATTACTGGATAAGGGAAATTAAACCTACAGTGGGCAAACATATGAATCCTTGCTATATATATACATATATACACACACACACACATACATACATACATACATACATATACACACACCATATATATATATATATATATATATATATATATATATATATATATATCCCTTCCTCCTGAAACTGGTGGTCAAACTTGCCTTTTAAAATTTTATTTCTTTCTTTTTAAAGGTCAACGAACAATAATGAGTCTGTACTTATATCAAATGCATTATACACATAACCAATTTTATCCAACCTTTTTGATTCTGGTGGAATCTTTGAACACTGCACCATCTACTGGCAAATTATCACAATTGCCACCCTTTGGCTCAAGCGTTTGAATATTTGATGCTTCTGTTCAGACATAAACTTGAGTCTTCTAAGAATAGTTTCAGTTTGTAAAAAGAATGAGTTGAAGGAAGAGTCCCAGTAATAAAAATGGTTGTGAATGTATCTGAGAATATAAATATCTGACCTCACAAGGACAAGATCAATACAAAACTCTTGAGGTTCCATACCCAGATTTTGCAAGATGTTTTTGAAGTGACTGAGCATTAGCATTCAAATCATACATTTGCATCTGTTTTTAGGAAACAAGGTTAAGACTCCAAATTTGTGTCTTCATACTGCAGTGTGAAAAGGGGCATTTACTTTCTCAAAACTTTACTTTCCACAGATCTTGGGAAAGTTACTTTTTTTTACACCTTCACAATCCCCAAGCCAGAGTGAACAACAGCTGAAAGCCCATCCATACTGGTCAGAAAATATGTTTCACCTTTGTTGCCCTCTGTTTATTCCTGGGTTGCATTGGCAGGATCAGTGTGAACAATGCATGTGGATTCATTTTCAGGTATGCAGTTATGCCATTGCACTAGTGTAAGGTAAGTGAACTAGCATTGGACTAGCACAAGGCTTTTCGAGAGCACTAGTCCAGAGGTTGGTTCCTGTGCAGTTTTGCACAAGTGGTTCTGCAACTGCACTAAATCAAGATTTGCTTTTTAAAAAATGTTGGGGTTTTCCACATGTATTTGTTTAAAGTTACTGCATTTATTTGTTTAAAGTTTCACAGATGCAGATTGTTCCTAAAGAGCTACTTATGCCTGCAAATACAGTTCTGATAAACAAAGTGCTAATTGTTCTTTGATTCTCAGCAACAGTCAGTGGGAAGCACAAATCTTCAGATTTCCAAATCTCAGCTTGGTGTCAAGACCGGTGTCAAATGAGCCTTTCTCTGAATTGTGTGATACACACGCTTATATGTTTTAATGAGCAAGCTGGAGCTAGAAAATATATGCAGTTCACAATATTTAGGTAGCCTCAGGGAAGATAACAGTGGGGACAAACCAAAAGTTAGAGGCCAAAGATCCTTTCATGATAGTTGTTGTCTCAACATGAGAAAATGAGCAGACCAGTATGCCATAGATCCATGTCCCCTTGTGAGGCTACACTATTATTTTATAGAGGCAACAACATTAAAATGATTTCGAAGGGCATTTGCTAAAAATACAATTCATATGAAGGTAATAAACTGGCACTGAATGATTCAAACTGGCCTCAATTTGTTGTGGCTATACAGCCAATGATGTGTCCTTTGATGGCATAAATATGAAAGAGAGCAGAGTTTCTGTTTGGCTGTACTTTGTTAGGAAAGTCTTAAATGCCATAGCTGACACATGATTTATTGTATGGAACACCTTCTTTTTCTGGCTGATTGATGTGTATTATATAGAACCTGTTAACAAAAGATTGCTCTCCTCTGTTCCCGTCAGTCATGCCTCATTGTATGTTATTTTTTCTTCAAGTACCCCAGTGAAGAATTCTATATAGGGTAATTTGCTTTCCGGGCTGACTCATCTCTGCTAGGCAACAGGCATACAGTTAGGCTATGTTAGTCCTTGTTTACCAACAAAGAGTTGATGCAGTGCCTTTAGAAAACTCACCTTAAAAGCAGTGTTATTGTGCAGAATATCTTTTAGCCTGCAGGTCAGCTTCCTCCCTACTCCTTCCACAAAACAATAATTCTATCTCTGATCTCTCCATTACAGACCTAAATAGGATCTTATGAAGCATCTTCCCAAAGCCATGCTTGGAAAAGAAAACGCTGAACAGCACAGAAAGGGCTTACAATGGCATTCGCCAAGTATCACATCCACAACTAAGGATGCCCCAGGTTTTGATTCCTTCAAAATTAAGCTGCTGAATTTAGAAAAGTTTGGGCAAGGGATAAACAAGGATAGATTCATACAAGAAAAAAAATCCATGCAACCCCCACTTTTGGTGCTAAAAACATCTCAGATTGAGTGTCCATTCCAAGAAACCTCTTTCAGCAGTTTCATTTCTTTCTTTCTCAGCAACTGTTCTACTTCTAAATCTAGATCAAATATGGGCAAACTTCAGCCCTCCAGGTGTTTTGGACTTCAGGCCAGAAGCCCAAGAAGCAAGGTGTTTTGTTTCTGATGGCTCCGGGGGACTGCAAAAATTACAGATTTCATGCTTTGTATTTGCCATAATGGATCATGATGCCTATAGTATGTGCCTATTCTTCACTATCAGACACATACTGTACTCTCCAACATGTCACAGACGAAAACTGGGACATATGTAGTCAAGAAATATCAGAGGGTGGTAGGATGGCAGAAGTTTTTAATGAGAGCAAAACACAAGCGATGAAAGACTGTAGTGGTTTGCTTTTGCCACATTGTACTGCGGGCATGGGCAAATTTCAGCCCTCCAGTTGTTTTGGACTTCAGCTCCCACAATTCCTAACAGCCTACCTGCTGTTAGGAATTGTGGGAATTGGAGTCCAAAACACCTGGAGGGCCGAAGTTTGCTCATGCCTGTTGTACTGGGAAGGGGAAGATTATATCTCTACTCTCCTTCTTGCTGAATTAACTATTGTGCAAACTATTTTTGTACTTTGAACTCCATTTGTGGTAACTGGAATAAGCTGAGTAGCAGGCAGGAAAATGGGAGGAGGAGGAAAAAACTGGACTACAGTGGAGTCTCGCTTATCCAACCTTGACTCATCCAGTGTTCTGTATTATCCAACACAGTCTCCCTCCCGCCCGAATCTACAGCTGTTTCAATACATTGTGATGTTTTGGTGCTAAATTCATAAATATAGTAATTACTACATAACATTACCATGGATTGAACTGCTTTTTCTGTCAATATGTTGTAAAACATGATGTTTGGGTGCCTAATTTATAAAATCATAATGTAATTTTACATTTAATAGGCTTTCCCTTAATTTCTTATTATTAGCCAACATTTTAGCTTATCCAACATTCTGGCAGCCCATTTATGTTGGATAAGTGAGACCCTACTGTATTTTTAAAAAGCAGCTGAAAAAATGGGTGACAGAGAGTTAGTTTGGGACTGTTCTACCAAATCAGAGCAGTTGCATTGTATGACATATGAATACTCTGTTTGCATTTCCAGGCACAAAGATCAACAGGTATAGATAATTCTGTGGGGACTATTCAGGAAAAAACATCTCTGGATATCTGTCATTTATTTTTTTTTACAAATATAAGAACAATGACAACTGGATGAAAGAATTGGGAGGTTCAGAACATCAATCCCAGGACATGATGAGACTATTTGGACACCAAGACTCCTATGCAGTTGGGTGTCTTAGGAATTAACAATCAGACATATGCCCAATGATCAAGCAATGTCAAATAATTAAAAAAAAAGAGCTGCATGCAATTTATCCTGTACAAATTTGGTAATAAGCTACATTAAAAATGTGGAAGTGACGCCTAAGTATAAATTTCATTTATAACACTCTATGTATTTAATGATAATTGCATGCTATGGGAAAAGTGGTTTGCCCTCCACTATACTTTAAGATTAGAAGAGGATTTGTAGTTCAAAAAATGATTATGTCCAATATAGTTTCTCTAGTCATTAAAATCTGTGTTACAGAGAGTATGACTTCTTTTTAAGCGGGAGAATGAGAACTAGAACATTATCTCCAGTTTTTCTCCATTCCATACCTTTGAGGCTTAGCTCATGTGCCACTGCAGCTGCCTTTGCAGGTACCAGATCCACAACAGCAACTTTGGCACCTGCTTCACCCAATGCATGGCAAAAGGCTCGCCCAATCCCCTGGCCTCCACCAGTGACATATGCGACTTTTCCATCTAGTTGCAGGCGGTCAAGGATGCGACGTCCACGGTAGCCCCAAAACACTTCATCTTTCGCTACACCCTTTGGGAGCAGAAACAGAAAGTTCATTGAGGCACAAAGGAGGAACTTTTTCAAGAAAACATATTAAGATGGGTTTTTTGCCTTCCTGTGGTAAGAAATCTCAACAAGCCTTTGCAAGAAATGACTGTATACATACTGCCCCCATGTGGATTAGCCATAGATTTCAAGTACAGAAATTTTTGCATGATTCAAAAGCATTGCATTTGTTATGGAAGGCTTCATAAATAGCTGGAACAAAGTACTGGAGTGCCTTCAGCAAAGAAACTATACACAACACAGTTCAGTCCTTTGCAAATTCAGTCTAAAAGGTCTTATTGCCTCAGGTTATGGTTCTCTGCTGAGTGTTTTCCAGAATGGTTTGCCTCAACCATTTCTACAGCTGCTCTCTCTCAGAGGAGGAGAGTCTATCTACCACATTGAACTCATTGGAGAAAGGGAGGGAGCTAGTGAGTAAGCAAGTAAGTAAATGTGGCTTTCAAATCTGAAAACTCATGATGTAGAAAGTTTTTTTAAAAATTATGTAAACTTCCAAAGTGACTATTATCAACTATTTGCCCATTGAGTAGGCATAGGGCAAGTACTCTACACTTTGAAGAACAATAAATTGTGCTTAGCGGCATATGGATCCCCAATTTACTTTCTGTATGAGCACCCAAAACTCTTCATTTTGCCACCCAAAATATTTTGTCTTCTGGCTGCTACATTCTGTTTGAGAACTGGACTGTCAAAAATGGAACAGTTAAAGAGGAGATGCTACAGAGAGAGCTTGCATGGAGGTCACCAGCTGAGATATATTCCCCCTTTGACCTCTTCCATCTCTCCCTGCCATATATTCAAATAGGAGGGAAGGAGCAAGTTCCAACTATTGGTTGCAATGCCAATGGAGTGATGAATCCACTCCAGGTTTTAGCCCAGAATTTAATAAAACTTTCTAAGGTGCTGAACCCAGAAGGGATTCATTGTCCCACTGGCATCAGAGTAATCAGCCATTGTTAGAAACAGTAACATTCCCCAATGTATGTTTTATTTTATTTATTCATTCATTGTAACTATACCCCATATTTCTCCAAGCATGGGAACCAAGTTGGCTTACAAGAAATTAAAAGAATATATATAAAAATATCATTGCAAAGAAACCAAAAGTGGGGCCAATTGAGCATTACATTGGAGGATGTTTTATAGCTTATGAGCATCCACCAAGAAAGCTGTCTTACCAGTTCTCACCAAAAATGCCTGTGATTGAGGTGGAACCAAGATAAAATGCTCCCTCAGACATCTAAATGGAGATCCAGTATTTCAAATGGTTTAGACCAGGCTAGATAAGGGTTTAAAGGTCATAATGAGTTATTTGAATTCTGCCCAGAGATGGAATGATAGTCAGTGAAGCTGCTGCCTTGTGGGAGTTATGTGTTCCCTGTAATCAGATCCAGCCAGGACTCTAGCTGCAGGAATGTGGACCCATTGCAGTTTCTGAAAAGGTAGGTCTAGATAAAGTGTGGAAAGTAACCATAACATGTGTCACCATGCCCAGATCTATCAAAGTCATTGTCAATGTGAGAGGGGGCTGATGGAGATGAGGATCCAATGAATCTTTAATTTCCAAAGAGGTATCCAGAATGATCATTTCTGGTCTCCATCTCTGGCAGGACAGTGGTGACAGAGCTTCTCCCTACTGGGAAATAACTGGAAAATGACCCATTCCCCCACATTGCTAGTGGAAAGGCATTATCATACCAGCTGTTCTAGGGATTGCAAGACTGCTCCTTGACTTTCCTTTTAAAAAACATACCACTTGCATTTAAGACAAGGGGGCAGGAGACAGTTGTCATTTGGTAATTTGAGACTTCACTTTCTCTGCACTGGAAACAACTTCCATATTAATTTCATTGTTAATTAATGTGATTGATAAATTATTCCAGGGTCAGTTATTTAATTTAAGAGTAGGGAGAAGCTGAGCTACAGCAAAAGAATATCACTGATAATGGCTTAGGTTTAGCTCATTTTGGTAGGTTACAAAAACAAGTATTGGCAGTTTATATTTTATGGCTGATAGGAACACCAAGCCATGGAGAAAAAATCCCAATGAACTGTTTTAGCAGCTCATAATCCAGGATGGGAAATCAACTACAATGGATAATTTATTATCTGAAGGGAAAGCAGCATTGTGCTACCTTCCTCTCCAAATCTTTACATGTTGATCTAAAAGTAGGAATCGAGTCTGTATGTGTATGTCAGCACATCTAGGTACACCCCCCCAAGCAACCTAGTACTTTAGAAAACTATTAGGTAAAAGGTCCTTTGCAAGCATATGCAGAAGCTATCTTCAAGGCTTTGTATTACTGTGGAGATGAAGCATAGGGAGGGATTCATTCCTTGGTGGAAGCATAAATAAATTTCAGATTATTTATTACACTCATAAGGCTTTCCTTCTTTTAATAAAAATAAGTTTTATCTGGAACTTTATTACTGCCTTTGGCCTTTTCTTTGTTTTGAGTACACCCAAGCACCATCTCTCTTAGCAAGCAGGAATTAGGTGGATTAAATATTTCTAGAAGAGATTCACAAAAATTGCCTTTGTGTCATGGCAATGTAAACATGGTTTCTTGGAAGCAACTTCCTGATTTCAATGTTGAAAGTTGAAGGCTAGGAAAATCATTTTTATTTCTACAGTTCAAACCATGTTGTTCTTCCAAAAATGTGATCTTTTATTAAAATTCCAAAGTAAATTTAACATATTTAGATGTAACAAGTTACCGGGAGATTTTCTGACAAGGACTTAACAAAGATATGCTTCAAAACTAATTTGTGGATTGGGCATAAAGTCTTTTTACTAATGCAAACCCGCCCCCCTCACATTCTAATTGTTTTAAGAACATTTATATCCATATTAGAGACATATTCTTATATTTATGTAACATAATGTCTTCACATTGTACACATTTTGCTATAAATCCTTACATTTTACTTAAAACAAATGTAATGAAAACTTGTAGGAAAACGTTATGAATGAATCTATAACAGCAGAAGTTGCTACAGAACCTAACCGGAACTATCCTCTACACAAAATTACCCTTCAACATAGTCACCATCAATTTGTACACATTTACACCATCATTTAACCCAGGCATCCAAATCATTTTGGAATAATTCGGGGCTTTGCTTCATGACCCATGATTTAAAGCTGTATTAATGTCATTCACATTATTGAATTTGAAACCACATAGGTTGTTTTTCAAATGTCCAAACAGGAATAAGTCAGAAGGGGCCAAATCAAGGCTGTAGGGGGGTTAAAACAGCTTTAAAATCATAGGTCATGAAGCAAAACCCTGAATTTTTCTAAAATGGTTTTGATGCCTGGATTAAACAATGGCACAAACATGTACAAATTGATGGTGACTATGTTGAATGCTGGTTTTGTGTAGAGGACAGTTCAGGCTATGATCTGTAGCAACTTCTGTTGTTATATGTTCATTCATAACATTTTTATGACACAGGAGGCAAAACGTTTTGACCCACCCAAGGTCTACAGTAAGGCAAGAGGCAAATCAATCACATATTTGAATCTCACACATGCTAGATGTATGCTAGATAATAGATATATATATAGAGAGAGGGGGGTGGGACTTCCACACATTTCAATTTCATGTGATGCCTATCTAACTGGTGGTATGGGAGAACAAAACAAACATTTGAGTGGGAAGGAAAACAGAAGTCTGCCTTACTAGCAAGTCAGCTACAAGAATGTATAGGAAAATACAATAAAAAACAGGGCTACCGTTTTAACAAATTATTTTGAGAGATGCATACACGTACTCTTGGACTAGTCTCTCCTTCGGAGAAAAGAGATTGCCTTCGGATAAGCATCAAGCCTCCTTGCACAGGTAAAATTACCTAAATGAATGAAAGCACAGTTCAGGAAATGCTTAGAACAACATAATTTAATTTCACTGATGCTGAAAGAAGTGTTAAAAATAAGGTTGACAATCACAGGTTACCTTATTGGGTATGTTAGTATCCCTCACCACTGAAAACATTTTCAGAATAAAGCAATAGTTTAATAACATAATTTTTTGATGATTTTCAAAGTAAGCAAGAAGCAAACTGTAGGGGGGAAATCCATTAGACATTTTAGGAGTTCATGGATGATAGGCTAAGAAACACAAGCTGGAATCCAGTTCAATATTTATAATGTTATAAACTAAATTTGGAACCTCATGAAGGTAGCTCACATTTCCAACCATGGCACTACTGAAGCTATTGTAAATGTCCCTCAAACTCAACTTAAAAGCCAAGTAGCTGTACCAGCCACAGCTGAGTGAGATATTGAAGGATGACACATCCACCCAACCCATTGGTAAGCTACAGTGCAAAGAGCAGAAACAGCCCCTGCCCCCTGAGTTTGAAGGATCAGATAGGGAGATGAATCTAGCAACATCACTGTAGCTATGTCTCCCATGTAGGATTTCAACAACAGCTTTAAGTTAGTATGGTAATAATTTTGAGAGAACTTCACCTAATATTTTAAATATCTTACAGTCAGCCCCTCATATCAACAGATATTGTATGAACAGATTAAATCATCAACTTGATTTTATATAAAGGCGACCATTTTACTACACCATTGTCTTTAGTGGGACTTCAGCATCTATGATTCTGGTATCCATGGGAGATCCTGGAACCAAAATCGAGCTAATACCAGGAGCCCACTGCATAAATCTCATGTATATTGAAGTCTTCGGATCTGGCACAGAGAAATCTTAAGCAATCTTCAAAATACTTAATATCCCTTTATATAAAAATCAAACAATATGCTTGTTTGTTGATTGGTTAGTGGATTTGATCAATAAAACTCCTATATGGCTTGAGGGATCTGGACCAAATTTGCTATGTGTACTCTTCATGAACCAACAAAAATGCTGGCAGAGGTGGGTTGGGGGAGGGGGCTGACAGAGGATGATGGGAGTTGTAGTCTAGTCACATCCAGAGAGCTGCATGAATCCCACTCACAAATGATCTGAACCAAACTTGGTAACATGCCATTCATGATCCAACTTAAAATACTGGTGGGGTTTGATAGAGGATGATGCGAGTTCCATCACATCCAGAGAGTCGTATCATTCCTACTCATGACAGAGGGCATTGTTCTCCTCCAAACTGGTCAGATGGAGCAACCTACTTGCAAGGCTTACCTCTTTACTAGGCATGTTGGAGATGATGGAAGTTGCAGCCCATTAAGAAGGTTGAACCATTTTAAAAGAAGAGCTACAAGTTGCAGTCCATCATACCATGTTCACAGATTCATGGAGTTGGAAGAAGTCCCATTGTCTATCAGGTCTAGCTCCCTGTTCAGTGCAGGATCTCCAGTTAAAGCATCCCAGCAGGCAGCTGTCAAGAATCCTTTTGAAGATGCCCACTCCACTAGCTCTCTTGGAAACCATTGTCCAACCTCTCTTATTGTCAAGAATCTCATTCTAATGTTCAATAAAAATTTTACCTTCTCATAACAGAAAACAATTAGACCTGTTCCTACCTTCTGGAGCAACGGAAAATACACATTCAACATCTTTTCTGTGGTAGGTTTTAGATGTTTCATTAGTACAATCAAGTCTTGTCTTCAATATGCCCTTAACTGATCATTTGTTCTCCATATCACTTATAATTAATGTTGCCCTTCTCTAAACCTGTTGCAGTTTGTCCATACCCTTCCTAAAACAAGGTTCATGCAAAATGGGACAAAGTGAGCACTTTCCTAGGGAAAGGAGGTAAGATTTGCCCATTAGTGTGAAAAATTCACCAGAATATTTGGGAAATATTTTTATTGGTGGGTGGAGTATCATGATTTTGTTACATTTGTGATTTTAAGTCAACAGTAGTTTAATTGTATTAAATTTTTGTATGAAGAATTTTTTAAAAATGATTTGTGTTTTTGAAGGTGGTTTCCAAACTGGGTGAAAGGCAGGATATAAATTAAATAAATCATCCCAAGTCTAAATAGCAAGCAGTGGCCAAAGCTGATCTGTAGCAATGCAGTGTAGAGCAAACAAACCAAAGTAAAATCTGATTTGTTGTTGTTATCAATGGAACGATGAGAGTGGAAACTAATGTCACAATTCAGCTTAATAAGACTGTTAGGCTCTCTGCTAGTAAAGTGAAACCTTAATATAGATTACTGGTTGTGCATACATTGAGTGAAAGAAGCAGGTGTAAAGGCCTAAACAAACACATCACTTCTACCAAAAAATGTGGAAGAGCTATTATAGCATCAGCGTCAGCCTTAATTGCTTCACACTAACCTGCTCTGTGCGAGGATCGGAATTAATTACTTGATTCAGTGTTTTGACATCTAATACATTTTCATCTGCGGTATTCTCCAGGTAGCCACGTCCTTTCATGAGGGCGTTCCTCACGCAGAGCATCCCATCCATCCTCAGCAAATGGTTCTCCATGACAAAGCGATAGTGCTCAGCAGGGCTCCTTTGATCAGCATCAAGAAAGACCATATCAAAATCTTCCCCCATGGCTGCAAACTCCTGGAATCAAATAGAATAAAATCATGTCAAAGAAAACATCACAGCCACATGTTATTTGGCCCCCAGGCAAAAACAAGTCAGGTGCCCTTGCTCTAAAACAAACATCTTTCAATTGCTTGCTTTTAAAAAAAGCTGCCACATAGTTTTATAACTTTTGCTTGGTGGATCCACGTGTCCCAAGTCAGAGCTTTTAATCTCTGCAACCATGATGTATTTGGACTTTGTCCCACAGTGGTGCCCATAAGCTGATCACAGTCAATGGCACATGGTAAAGAGCAAATGTCACTACAGCACATAAGTGGGTTTCCAAAGCTTGGATGCAATAATCTCCTGCATTTAGTTACATTTCTAAATAACATGGGGCATAACAAAGTTACATTTCAATTAATGTAACTAATTTTTCTATATTGGTGTTGTAACTTAATCTAGTTACTTTAAAAAAAACAATGTGCAGGATTAATGCAGTTTGCCACCACCTTAACTGCCATGGCTCAATGCAATGGAACCTTGGGAGTCATAGTTATATGGGTGTTTTAGCTTTTCTTTGCTAAAGTGGTGCCTCACCAATCTAGAACATCCATGTTTCCATAGTATTGAGCCATGGCATTCTTGATGGTGGCAAATTGCTTTAATTCTTCAGTGTAGATGCACTCTTGGGGCCCGTCCAGACAGGCCCTATATCCCAGGATCTGATCCCAGGTTTTCTGCTTTAAAGTGGATTTTATGAGTCTGCACTGCCAGATAATCTGGGATAAACATAAAATCTGGAATCAGATCCTGGGATATAGGGCCTGCTTGGAAGGACCCTTATACTCATTTTGATAGGAGTTTTTCAAATTTATGTCATTCTATTGTCGAAGGCTTTCATGGCTGGAATCACTAGGTTCTTGTGGGTTTTTTCGGGCTATAGAGCCATGTTCTAGAGGCATTTCTCCTGACGTTTCGCCTGCATCTATGGCAAGCATCCTCAGAGGTTGAGAAGGTCTGTTGGAAGTAGGAAAAATGGGTTTATATATCTGTGGAATGGCTGGGGTGGGGCAAGGAGCTCTTCCCTGCTGCAGTTAGGTGTGAATGTTTAGCTGATCACCTTCATTAGCATTTGAAGGCCTGCCTGAGTGGGAAAATCTGTTGCTGGGAGGTGTTAATCTGCCCTGATTGTTTTCCCTCTGCTGTTTTGCTGTTTTAATTTTTGAGTTTTTTAATACTGGTAGCCAGATTTTGTTCATTTTCATGGTTTCCTCCTTTCTGTTGAAATTGTCCACATGCTTGTGGATTTCAATGGCTTCTCTGTGTAGTCTGACATATGCTAGTTGTTAGAGTGGTCCAGCATTTCTGTGTTCTCAAATAATATGCTGGTCCAGATTGGTTCACCAGGTGCCCTGCTATGGCTGACTTCTCTGGTTGATGTAGTCTGCAGTGCCTTTCATGTTCCTTAATTCATGTTTGGTGGTCCCTATGTAGACTTGTCCACAGCTGCATGGTATACGGTAGACTCCTGCAGAGGTGAGAGGATCCCTCTTGTCCTTTGCTGAATGTAGCATTTGTTGGATTTTCTTGGTGGGTTTGTAGATTGTTTGTATGTTGTGTTTCCTCATCAGCTTCCCTATGCGATTAGTGGTTCCCTTGATGTATGGCAGGAACACTTTTCCTCTGGGTGGATCTTCATCTTTACTCTCGTGGCTTGTTCTTGGTCTTGCAGCTCTTCTGATGTCTGAGGTGGAGTATCCATTGGCCTGGAGAGCCCAGTTGAGGTGGTTCAGTTCATCTTGGAGGAGGTGGGGTTCGCAGATTCTTTTTGCACGGTCTGCCAAGGCTTTAATGGTGCTTCTTTTTTGACTTGGGTGATGGTTGGAGTTTTTATGTAGATATCTATCTGTGTGTGTGGGTTTTCTGTAGACGGTGTGACCCAATTGTTGATCTGGTTTGCGGATGACTAGGACATCTAGAAAAGGCAGTCTTCCTTCATTTTCTTTTTCCATGGTGAACTGGATGTTTGGATGGATGCTGTTAAGATGGTCCAGGAACCTGTTGAGTTCTTCTTCTCCATGGCTCCAAATGGTGAAGGTGTCATCCACATATCTGAACCATATAGTGGGCTTTTTGGTTGCTGTTTCCAGGGCTTGTTTTTCAAAGTGTTCCATGTAGAAGTTAGCTATGACCGGGCTGAGAGGGCTCCCCATAGCTACTCCATCTTTCTGTTCGTAGAATTCATTGTCCCACTGAAAGTAACTGGTGGTAAGGCAATGGTGAAACAGAGCCGTGATGTCTTCTGGGAACCTCTGGTTGATGAGTGCCATGGTGTCTGCTACCGGGACCATGGTAAAGAGAGATACCACATCGAAGCTGATCAGTTTGTCGTTTGTATTTAGCTTGAGATTGCTGATTTTTTCTATGAAGTGGGCTGAGTCCTTGATGTAGTGTGTAGTGAGCCCAATATGGCTTTGTAACTGTGCAGCAAGAAATTTTGCTAGGTCGTATGTGGGGGAAATCGGAAGCCCATCCACCCAGGTTTTATGGACTCCCAAAAATCCATAAGGACTCCACCCCACTCAGACCCATCGTGAGTGCCATTGGATCCCCCACATACGACCTAGCAAAATTTCTTGCTGCACAGTTACAAAGCCATATTGGGCTCACTACACACATCATCAAGGACTCAGCCCACTAAGAACTCAACAGGTTCCTGGACCTTAACAGCATCCACCCGAACATCCAATTCACCATGAAAAAAAAATGAAAGTAAACTGCATTTTCTAGATGTCCTAGTCATCCACAAACCAGATCAACAATTGGGTCACACAGTTTACAGAAAACCGGTGCACACAGAAAAAACTCCCACCATCACCCAAGTAAAAAAAGATGCACCATTAAAGCCCTGGCAGATCATACAAAAAGAATCTGCAAACCCCACCTCCTCCAAGATGAACTGAACCACCTAATCTAAGCTTTGCAGGCCAATGGATACTTCATCACAGACATCAGAAGAGCTGCAAGACCAAGAACAAGCCACGAGAGTAAAGACAAAGATCCACCCAGAGGAAAAGTGTTCCTGGCATACATCAAGGGAACCACTGACCGCATAGGGAAGCTGATGAGGAAACACAATACACAAACTATCTACAGACCCACCAAGAAAATCCAACAAATGCTACGTTCAGCAAAGGACAAGAGGGATCCTCTCACTTCGGCAGGAGTCTACCATGTACCATGCAGCTGTGGACAAGTCTACATAGGGACCACCAAATGCAGCGCCCAAACATGAATCAAAGAACATGAAAGGCACTGCGGACTACTTCAACCAGAGAAGTCAGCCATAGCAGAGCACCTGATGAACCAAACTGGACACAGCATATTTGAGAACACAGAAATGCTGGACCACTCTCACAACCACCATGTCAGACTACACAGAGAAGCCATTGAAATCCACAAGCATGTGGACAATTTCAACAGAAAGGAGGAAACCATGAAAATGAACAAAATCTGGCTACCAGTATTAAAAACACTCTAAAATTATAACAGCTAAACAACAGAGAGGAACAAACCAGGCACAGATTAACACCTCCCAGCAACAGATTTTCCCAGGCTCAGGCAGGCCTTCAAATGCTAATGAAGGTGATCAGCTAAACATTCACACCTAACTGCAGCAGGAAAGAGCTCCTTTGCCCCACCACAGCCATTCCACAGATATATAAACCCATTTTTCCTACTTCCAACAGGCCTCACTACCTCTGAGGATGCTTGCCATAGATGCAGGCGAAACGTCAGGAGAAATGCCTCTAGAACATGGCTCTATAGCCCGAAAAAACCCACAAGAACCTTATGTCATTCTCTTTGCAATCCCAAAACGAACAGAACAGTAGTGGAAAATTAAAGCAACAAAACATACTATGTACCAAGTTACCATTTTGGGAAAGTGCAACAAGCTGCAACAATGGATATGTTTTCAGTTATTATACAAAACAACACAAACTAATTACTTCTTAAAGTAACTTTCTGAGCTCTGCCAGTTCCCTGTTTTGGCAATGGGAGCATTTGAGAAAAAGGATGCCCAGTCTACTCTAAGGCCCCCATCTACACTGCCATATAAGGCAGTTTGAAACTGTATTACATGATCAGTAGACTCATATAATGCAGTTTAACTACATTGAAATGCGTTATATGAGTCTACCCAGAATATATAATGCAGTTTCAAACTGCATTATATGGTAGTGAAAATAGGACCTAAGAGTCCAAGTTGAGACCAGGAGGCTTTTGACATGGAATGTACACAGGATTAATTCTAATAACAAACAAATATCAAGAACATTACAATTTGTCACTCCTTGTTCTTGACATAATGGGGAAGCATTCATCTATAGGGAACTTGGGAAGATTTCAAGGCCCTTAAAAATAAAAACACCATTAGAATATTTTGCTGCATGTGGACATCCATTCTTGTTGCTTCTGGATGCTATTCTATTGCGTGCAGTTTATATTCACTGGCAAAGCTAAAATCTCAGGGGATGTGAGAGAGGGAATGCAATTTCTAGTAATAACAGCTCACAACAGTGAATACTATCCACTTATCCCCACAATTTCCAGCTATTTTGGACTCCTTTCTGAATTAACCTTTCATATCAAAAGGAGCAATTCTGCACACTAGAGACTCCGACACAATTTCATGCATAATTTATTCACTCAGTTCAACATTAAACGTGGAGTCCTTGACTTTGTCAAGGTGGATTCTGTTGGCAGACTTCACAAGCAGAAAAACAGGGGGAAATGAGATCTGCGCTTCAACCTCTTCACCTAGCCTGTCGAATAAACGCGAGGAGGGGATGAAAAAGGCAGCCAAAGTCCCTAACATGCTTCCACAGTGTGCTGCAATTACCGGAATCTTTTGCAAATATGGTGTTATTACTTCCCAGTATGATCTTGTTAAGTCTTTCAAATGGAGGGATCTGAAACTTCAGCACAATCTAAATAATAAACCTGAAAACTCCTAAGCTAAAATAAATCAA